TACTAGATGGATTAGATATCATTTATTAATTTTATTTTTTATTCGAGACAAGATCTAGCATATAGAATATATCACGAAAATGGTAACCGATCAAAAGCATTCATCTGATAGTATAGCTAGTGAGCAGGAAGTTATTCCAAGTACAGAAAAAATAGCCTGGTTAAATGCAGAAGTGTGTAATAGAGTTTTCAGTATAATAGAGGAATTAAAGAAACAATTCGAAGATTGTCATCCCCAATATAACACTTTAGAAAAGAGGGTAAAAAGACTGGAAAAAAACATAAGATCCTTAAAAATCAAATTAGAAGATCTAAACGAATGTGTAGATAAGGAAACTGTGATCAACTTAATACAAGAAATAGTTCCCTTGCTGATTAGTGAAAAGGGTCGAAAAAAGAATAAGGATTTCTCCTATTCGTCTGAATCTTCTGAAGAATCTGATTTGGGTGAGATAGTTGAGAAGTCCCATGGGTACCAGGTAAGAGGGACTATCCCTTATAAGCAATGAAGGAGGATGTGACCAAGAAAGGTTAAGCGAGTGGTAGTTTGAAATGGTCGAGCCAGAAGGATTCGAAAAATCAGGTGTTGAATAGAGATTTATTTTTGAATATTATATACGCCATAATAAAATGGTATTCGTGAATTGTGTAGTCAAAGAAAACATCCCTATTGAGGCATCAATTGATACGTCTACTGATGTAAATTGTATTAGCCAAAAATATATTGGTGAATTAGGAATTACATATTACAGTGAAAGCAATAGCATGGTAACTCCAGATACATCCTATTTCACATTAGGAAAGGTTAATCTACATATCGGCTTTAATGACGGTGAGAAGCATAAAACCATACCTAGTGAATTCATAGTTCTTGGACCAGATTGGCCTGATTATTTTCCTGACTTAGTATTAGGAGGGCCATGGTTTCAAGAAAATGATGCAACTTTGGATATATGTAATTCAAAACTATTATTAGATGATAATTTTGCGATTCCAATCAAAAAAGTAGAATACATTTCGATATTATCTGATAGTCAGATCCGAGCTATAACTGATTTTTCCAACCCAATTGATAGTCTGGAGCAGTGATCTACCAGCGAACTAGGTTCAGCTAATTTTATTTTTTGTTTAAAGATACAACATATAAAATAGAATATTTAGTCAGAGGTGCTTCGCATGGCGCATTCAAGCATTTTTAATTTACCAGAACTATTAGAGTGGATTCTATATTTCCTAGAAATAGATAAGACACTGTATCCCGCCCTATTTGTATCCCGATTATGGTACAGACGCAGTGCTCCTATTCTATGGAAACGCATTAAGCTAAAGGGGAATGAAGTAGACGATAGATCTCGATTGGAAAGATTTTTTAAAATAGTACATGGAGGAGGAAGAAGATCAGTTTATAGCTCAAAACTAACTCATCTCAAAATATCGGACTATCGTTCACTTTCAAACAAAAAAATCAAAGGCATTATGCATACTTTCCAAAATATAATACATTTAGATTTTGGAGGGAGTATGAAACCTGAGTCTATTGGTAAAGTTCTAAAGCTAATAGCAGAATCATACCCAAATTTGAAGTATCTTAATATATCTGCTTTATACAGTAGTGGATTTGGAAATGATAAAGGCCTATATACAATCGCGAATTCATGTTATAAAATAGAATGTCTAAATATTTCTAGACGTACAGAGTTTTCTGAAACATCAATTTGTAATGTTATTCGTTCTTGCCCAAGGCTCCAGCATCTTGACTTCAGCTTTTGCAAAATTACCGATATAACTATCAAAGAAATTGCTGGTTTGTGTCTTAACATAAAGTATCTCAATTTGGAAAGGTGTAATAATATTAGCAAAGAAGCTGTAGATCAGCTCGTTTCACTTAATCTGAATATTCATGTTGAGAATTTCGTGCCGATTCAGGTACCTTCCCTAGATGTAATCTGTGAACTCGTAAGGAGTCTGGGGATACCACATGATGCACTAAGAGATGTTGCATACTTAGATAATTTTATCATCGACAGATTATCAAGGAGATTGAGTGAACGCTGTATTCTAGCTAGATCATCGCTCTGAAGTGGTAGTCGGTTATATAACACCTGGCATAGTGTTGATAATAATTAGAATTCGGCCATATCTCAGATACACCGGCAACTTAACAAACAGTCGCTAAGGAATTATTTCGATAGAATACTAGCTGATCAAGCAGAATGGTGGTACTCTACCGATCTAACTAATCCGGAGCAGTGATCATCAGCTTAGAAGAATTGCTGAGTCATGCACAGTGCCTTCAGCCAAATTGTGTGACAAAAATATGTGGATCATAGGACAAGTCTGTGCAACATATTAATTTTCGCATATATATATCGAAAAAACATATTAACCTTTATTCTTTGTGAAGCGCCTTAATGGCTATTTTTTCCCGAACAAACATGAGAAAAATGTGAAAGGAGGTCTACATGCAATACAGGACCTATCATAAAAGTAAATACTGACAGCAAAAGCATATGTTATAAAAGGCTGAGGACTTTGGAATTTTGAGATCGCCAGACGTAAGACTAACTATGTGTCTCTCCTATAGATCTACATGTGAAAAGGTATGAAGATTCTGTTTACATGTGCTTTTGCTTTAGCGTCTTCGGCTATAAAGCTCTTGGCATCAGACGACAATACTAATTACGCCTCATACCTCCTTAACTTCAGCTTGGTGTTCTTTTTCCCAGTCAGATATAAAGCATGTAGGAGTATGTGGAAGTTCAGCCAACCTTCCCGCAAAAACATTCCCAGAGAAAATAACGTAAAATAAAGTATGTGTTGTATATACCAGATGTTATGTATGTATGGGAACGAGTTTTCCTCACTATGGTTTCTTGCATTTAGGAAATGAAAATGACTCACAAGAGTATTGTCAATCTTAAGTGTTGCCTCCAGGATGGTGAGGATAAAATAAGCTACATAATCTCACCTGCAAGGAAGATAAGGTCGCTATTTTCGAATTTGCTGTTAAAACTCTATTAGCAAATCAAGGTTATCAAGCTCTCTCCCTCAACTTCAACCTCTATGTGAATGATCCTAAGGAAGATAAACTCATGGAATCAACTGAAGAGATCTCTAAATATTTCGATAAGCCTCTCATTTCGGATCAAATTCACATTCTCATAAAACCTAAGAATAATTAGTATTTTTTATTCGTATCATGCTATGTAATAGTTTTTTTGTATTGTAAGCTGACTTCTGGCAACTATTTTATTTTATAAATAAAGTATTATATTATCAAACGTATATGAGAAACAGATCACATGTAATGGTGTGATGTCTGTATTACATAAAAATATATTAATGCCTGGTATTCTCTTCCCATAAAATTTTATTTCACTCTAGAACGTAACACTATTTTTGTTCGAGCCTAATATCCCTATAAAAGCGCTATGTCTGAAATTAGTACACCCTATACTCCCACTTCCACCATTATCTTTGGTAATAATGAGACAGTCTCGCTGGCGGAAGAAATTAAAAAATATAAAACTGAGGCTCTTAATGAATATTTACGGAAAGAAGAGGACTTAGGTCTTGACGATGATGACTTGGAGATATTTCGCAAGAGAAAAATAATGGGCTGTGTCTTCCTTGACATGACCAAGGATGATTTTAGAGATTGTGGGTTGGAAATAGGACCAGCTATATCCCTCGCAAGGAATGTAAGGATAAAAAATTACGCTCATTTTCCTCTTACCTTAGCTTGAGTGAGGTGTTGGCGGAATATGGTTATGACTCTGATGGTATAGATTCCATTCCACTCTTCTTCTCTCCCATATACGAAATTCGGGGTGATAGTGAGGTCCTCAAGCATTGTATGGAAGAAATTTTGGGTAGGTTACGCTTCTACAGAACTTTACAGCCAGATAGCTTGGAGGCCATGTGTAATGAGTATGTCATAGCACTTCTTCATACTTCCATCCATATTGTCATGGATATAACAGACAAGGAGCTTAGCATGCATCCTCAGTATGGAATAGTTGGTAAAGAAAGCTGAGGCCGGGTTGATTATGCAATAAAGGTAATTTTTTTATTATTCCTGCTATACACGTGTTAACTTACCACTAATATGAACTATAAAAATATATGGATAGGAGGCTGAAGACCTTATCTGTATCACGGAAGATAAGCAATATAAGGTTCCTATAGGCATCGCTCAGAATATCAAACAGCTTAAGAGTACATGCGAGATGAACAAGAGGAAGAGAAAGCGGGCGCTGATGATTTCGATTATCTCTATGGTATCATCACAACAGGTCGGGACTGGCATTTCCTTTTATATAGCCCCAGAAAAATATCTAAGGCAAGTGATACTGCGTATTCGATCGAATTTACAAACAAGGCTTTAGATCCAAACTCAGAAGAATACCAGTCATTGTGTAAGAGTGTGAGAAAGGTTTTGGGCATTATTGTAGGTTTGTTAAAAGATAAGGCATGTGCGGAAGAAGAGTCAGAAAGGAAGAAAGTTAGAATAGAGGGTTATCGTTCGAAAAAATAATTGATGCTGTAATCGCTTTACATGTATAGTAGCATAAAAACTTCATCATGCAGCCCGGGCTACGTCCTGAACATTTGTATTTATTTATAATAATAAAAGAATTGAATTTTGCAGGTATATATGATAAGCGAAAAAAATATAGTCATGGAACTGCCATTCCAGGGCTATAAACAATTTATTATATCATAATCACGCCTTAAATTCGTGATAGAGCTAATATATATTCTGACCCTAAAACACTTATCTTGGTAAATGCGTCATACAAAGAATTTGGCCTATACTTTGAAGGAACCAAATTTGGATGATGAAGGAATTTCACGAGTATATCATTCCTCCAAGCTTTCGTCTCCTCACGCTCCCAAGTTATCTCCATCAATATAGATAGGTTACTGTAATTCATTTCCATTAGGTTTTGAAGCGAAGATCGTTTATTTTTTTTGAGAGTAAATAAACTCATCCCACCCTCAACAGCAGAGTCTAGAGTAATAGGGAATATCTGATCTACTTGCTAAGATAGATAAGGGCGGAATTAAGGCTGGATAGTAGAAGTCAGCTAAGGGATCCAGCTCAAATTCACTGACATATATAGTCCCAATATCTTCTAAATAATCTGAAAGTCTATTAGCATACCTGTAACCTTCATGAATCAACTTCTAGGATAGCTTTCCATTCGGGTTGATCCATCGACCAGTTAGTAAATTAAGTACTGTTTTATGTATGTTTGATTCTTACATATAGATTGTTGAAATTAGCATTTATGAAAGTGATAATAGATGATTAGTACTTATGAAAATAGTATGTTTAATTACTCATTTCCTCCATATTCTTCTTTTTATAATATATGTATACTCTTTTCTTACCTTGTTCGCATTGGACACAAAGCTGAACGCTTGATTTAGTGCCTCGTTTACATCCTTTACATGGTTGTGGGATTATTACGCCCTTTCGTATTTTGAATGCATGAGAGGCACAATATTGCTCTTGTGTTAAATTTTTACAGAAACGGATCTCTCCAACTAATAACCAATTACAAGGCATTTCTTTTCTCTGTCCATTATTCATACTCATTTTTATATTTAAAATTTATTGTCGCCTCGAAAGAGAGAGATAACGAATAAGTTGATCCTAGCTGAAGGCACTTAGGGTAAGTATCGTGCATACTTGTATGATGGTCATTTACTTTAGTAAACCCTTATTAATAAAAAATTTTCTTGGCATTTTCTGAGACGGCCCGTTCCGGAAATTTTTTGGTAATTTTCAGAACATTGAACAATTTCTTTCATATATAAAATTGTTGATCATGTCAGTTAACGAAGCTAACCCATTCGAGCTTGAAGTATTAAGACAGCGTATAATTGATCTAGAGGCTGAGAACTCTAAGATTAAAGTCGAGAAAGCCGAACTTGAAGCTAGGAATGCTGAGCATCTAAAGCAGGTTATGGATGACAATGCTAAGTTTAAGGCCAGAATCGAGAAGCTAGAAAAAAATAATAGAGTTACTACTAAACTCGAATCTAAGAACACTGAGCTTAAAGCTAGAGTTGCGAAACTGGAGGAGGATTACAGGCTGATGCAAAATAATAACACTACTATGGTAACTGGTCTTTCTAACAATGGTTCACCTAACTTCAATTCTGATACATCATTACCCAAAGAACTAATACCAGAAGTTTCACTTGCCAGCTCCAAGATATCGGAGGAAAAGGAGATAGATACTTTCTTAGTTAAGGAAAATAAGAAAAGCATTAGTGATAAAATTAGACAACACAATAGGGAGAAGAAAATTCAAGCTCAAGAGTCTCTTCCAATACCTCCTGAAGAAGAAATGCTCCAAGTTCTCGACTCAGATATTCAGCCAAGTAATAGTTCAACATCCAAAGTCAGTGAAAATGTCAACCTAAGTTGCCCTATCTCTGATCCAGTGATCCATAATCAAAAGAGAGTTTCCGGAGGTAGCAGATCACATAAGAAAAAAGGAATGGATGAACTTAAACATAAATTATTCAACCCCTCTTTAGAATCATCAATAAATCATAATAATGTGACTGAAATTTCTGAGACAGCCTGTCTCAGAAAAGTTACCTATGACAACATTGATGAAGTCTCATAACATCTAGCTCAATTATGTGATAAAGCCATCAATACCAAAGATAGGGCAAATTGAGCTAATCAGGAAGAAATTTTATGTTGGTGTCTCTACTGGAAGGATTTCAGAGATCAGCTTGATAAGATTATCAGAAGCAATGGTAGTAAATTTGGTGAAAAGAAGACGAGAGGTATGCTTTATAACACCATTACAGAACAGCTTTCTATCCTCCGCAAGAAAAGATCACAAGAATTGGGGCTAAAACTTAGGGATGTATCACGGGACAGCTTGCGTAAGAAAACTCAGAGAGCTGAAAAAAACTATAAATTATTCGAAAAAATGGATCTAGATAAGATCAAGTATATTAATTCATATAGCGCAAATTCCATTTCAGAGCTTACTGATGCACAATTTCAAGAGATCATAGATTATGGTATATCTTTGGAAAGTTATCTCCAGAAGCTGGTCATGTATCTGAAATTTCTGAGACAGCCTGTTCTGAAAAAATCTTGCCTGAAGTAAATACACCATCTATACCTCAAATCACTCCAGCTAAAGCAGATAATAATGATCTCACGGATCTTAAGGAGGAAGATTTCTATGGTGGTGGGGTAGTGATCGCAAGTGTATCATCTACATCCTAATCTAAGCTTGATCATTCCTATTTTCGCAACAAGATATTGGATCAATATCCTAATCTATATAGAGAATGTACTTGTGAAAATTTTGATTATTATAGGATTACTGATGAGACATCATGCGGGGACTACATCTGCCCATTATACAAATTAGGTCATGATGATGAAGAAATAGAAGGTAAGTATAAAGTCAGATCTTACTTTATTAAATGTGAACAGCGTGAAATTGAGATAATTGCATAGTCTTATCCCTTAATCAAAGATTTTGGGGTGGGAGAAAAGTGATATATTTCTTACTTGCAGGCTCACAGGCTCCGTATAACAGATAGGTTTTTTTCTCACCCTGCAGTTCGAAGAACAAAGAGACGGGAATTTAAATTGTTTGCAGTCATATAAAAAGGAAAATGACTGAGTCTGATAAAATACTAACCGCCGAATATCTGGATTGGTATACCAAATTAATTGGATTACCAAGTATTTTAACAGATAAGATTCATTCCAAATTATACAAAAGATATAAAAAATAAACTGGAAATGAGCTATGGCAACTAACAGAAGTTATAAATTCGAAGCAAGAAAAAGGGCCTATCACTTTCAAAGCCAAACTCGATCCAGAATTAATTATCAAATCCGTCTTAGAGCACTTCCCATACTTGAAATTCCGAAATAGTTTTAGAGGGATTGATAATTATATTTTTGCATCACCTCAGTCATGGAGCTCACCATGTCCTATTTGCAATGGAAAACATGGAAATTATGGATTACATGGCGAATGGTATAAAACAGAATATTGTCTTACTTGCTTCACTTCAAGCAATAAATTCAGGTTTGCAAATGTAACATAGAAATTTCATATACAATGGTTTAGCTCACACTTGTATTTATTTTTCTATCACTCGCATGTATTAATAATAAAGTACTGTGAAGATTCTTTCACACTTATCACCTGATATATAAAAACTACGAAGTTACGATGAGGAATATACAAAATAATTCACTATAAGCAACAATGAGTAAAGTACCAAATAATAATTGATGACTGTTTTTGTGATTATGTTATACAGTCGACCCTCTCTACAATCACACCCTTTGGGATCGCCTTATGGTGTGATTGTATAGAGGTGTGCTTATATGCGATTATATAATTAAATACCGGTATTAATGTATTTATTTTATTACATCTATTATATCTATAGTTTATCTATAGTTTATCATTATTTTATTCATTGTTTTGACACTTTTTTTTTTTTTTTTGATTTTTTGACACTTCGGCTGGATCCAAGGTGCAAGGTGAATGGTTCGTTTCTTTTCTTCTTTGCTTCGTTCTCCTTTTGCTTGGTTGTTAATTAACCAATTTCTTCTTTTTTTTTTTAGATCTTTAGGCTCTTCGGCTGTATCTAAGACGGTAAGTTCATTTTCTTACTTCACTTTTAATCTTTTGTTTACTTTCTTTTTTTAGATGTTTCTTTAGCTTTTCGGATCTGGATTCTAGACGGTTATGGTAAGCTTCATTTTCTTATTTTGTTTTATTCTTTCGTTTGTACAAAAATTTCTAAATTCTCATATTCTTCTTTCTTTTTTTAGATACAAGACTAGGATCAGCTTAGACCGGACTGACCAGATCGAGTAGGACCATTAGTTTTATGTGAAAAATTAATTTTTTATTTAATAAAGTTTACTGATCTTTGACGCTAAATTTCACGTGATTTATTATATTAATTAAATGATCAAATAAAAATTTATTTAATTTATTACCATTTTATTTTAATTCACACCTTATGTAAATTTTTATTAAAAAAAAAGTTTTTTTGAAAAAAACTTTAATAAATTAAATCTATTTAAATTTAATTAACTAACACGAAAATAATATCGCGAAAATACTTTTTTTTAAAAACACTTTCATGTGATAATGTGACTATATAAAGGGAAATTTTATTATATTAACTAATAATATCGGTTTAATAATTGGTGTGATAGTGATTATAATTAATATGTGATTATAAAGAGGGTGTAATTATATAAGGTGTGATTGTAGAGAGGGTCGACCGTATTTTAATTGTAACATTATTTATAACGAAATTAAAAACTTCCCATTACATAATTATCTTTTCCTTCATAAAGCAATTCGATTTCCCCTCTCCATACCAAAGAAGCATTCCTCCAAAATGTGGTTTAATAGAAACGTTCTTTTCTCTACGACCATTTTAATCGTCTTGTTACTTTTTTTTCATCAGTATCAGCAACACGATGCAAAACCATCACCAAGACACGCGGCCACACCAATGCCATTTACCTCTCGAACTTCCCAAGTTCCACCACCACTACTACCACGGAAACAGATACTATCACGTTAACCACTACTACACCACCACCACCACTACAACTACCGTTACTCTTCTAAATAAAAGGCACAATGATGATAAAACCGTCATCTGCGTTCCTGATAAAGTTAAACATTATTCTTATCAAAAGCATGGCAATATCAAGCAAAAATATTAGAAAAAGTGCTAATAAATACTTTAAATGCAAAATGAGCAAATATCGACAGGACAACAAGTGCAAAAATTAATATAACAAATGCAAACGGAACATAATGTGCAAAAGGTCGTTCATTGTACTCTAACCGTTTTCTTAAAATGTCCATAAAGCTCAAACTGTAACAACGACCGAAAGGGCGAGTACCACGACCAGACAACGGCCACGGCCATTTTCACCAACACAGCCATTGTCACCAACACTGTATGTAGGCCTAATAATTCGCCTTGTAAATTAATTTTTGAAGATTTCGTAAATTGTTGCTCTCAAGGTTGTATTTCCAATGACGGCGGCTTAACCGGCCGCTGTTGCGACTTCATTTAATAATGAATAATTCCATAAATTTTTCGAAGAACATTGGTTTTGAAAGAGTTAAAATTTTTATTTGCAATGTTATTTTTATAAAAAAGTACCTTGATTAAAAAGTTAACATTATTAAATTATAATAAAATAATATTATTTTCAATTAATAAAACTTTCGAAATTTATAAAGTTGTTTTCTTTAAAAATATTTGCGTTACTAGAAGAAACGCCTATTTGTTGGACGCATGAAAAATGATTACCTACGACTAACAAAATAACTGCGCCTTCTCCATAATAGAGTCAACATTAATTTTTTTTTTTATAAAATATCATAAACAACATGATGCAAATTTCATTTCGCTCGCGGAAACCTCTTTAATCGCACAATATAAAAGTGCATTTTTATTTTTTATTTTCTATTATTATTTAGAATAACACATTCAAATCATTGGTGCCTGATAAACAAAAAGGAAAAGAATGATAAATAAATTAAAATAATGATATATAAATAAATAAATAAAATAGTTATTGCGCTTTGCGTTGATAATAATCAAAAATAATTATCGCAATTCATAATGATCAGGATCATCATTATGAATTGGACAATTATTTTGATTTTTATTAACGAAAGCACAATAACATAACTATGATGAAATAAGATACTCAAGTTATAATATAACATTTTACAGATTGGTTAGCAAGTTTATTATATATTCTAATAATTTTATTTGTTTAAACTAATTCCAGTTATAAATATTATAAATTATGAAACTACAACACTTTTGCATTTTTGCATTTATAAGAAAAAATTTTCTTCTAATGGGTAAAAAAGTTCAAACCCAATTATATTCACAAAACATCATAAATGTATAAATCTTGCATGTAAAGGAATCATTAGGAATAGCAAAGTTTAATAAATATAATTATGATCACAATTTTGTCTTCGATACTTAGGATAAATCCAATTTAACAATCAGAGTTGAATTTAAATTATATGAAAGTTTATCATATCTTTATATACTCCTCAAAGAAACCTGAGCATTAAGAAAGTTTATGTTGAAGGTTAAAGATTTAGGCGATAGTACAGGAGTTATTCGATTTTGTAGAATAGTTATGAGGCGTTGAGTTTTTTAAAGATTTAGGCTTGATACTCGTTAAGAAATATGGCAAATTTGGTAAGCTAGTTATTAGAGTATACTCACAGTCAAGTTTCTTTAAGGAATTTGGTAAAGTTGGTAGGATAGTTATTGGAGTGCAATTAAGTTCCGCTAAGGAGTTGGGTAAAGTTGGTAGGATATTAATTGGAGTATTAGAGCAATTAAGTTCCGATAAGAAGTTGGGTAATGTTTAGTTTAGTGCTATAACACCAGAGTATAGTTAAGTAGTTAGGTAATGTTGGTAAGCTATTTATTTGAGTTTGGTAGCAAAGGAGTTCTGTTAAGGAGTTAGGTAATGTTGGTAGGATGGTTATTGGAGTATAAGAGCAACTAAGATCCGTTAAGGAGTTGGGTAATGTTGGTAGGATAGTTATTTGAGTATTAGAGCAACTAAGATCCGTTAAAGAGTTGGGTAAGGTTGGTAAGCTATTTATTTTAGTGCCATTACACCAGAGTTTAGATAAGGAGTTGGGTAAAGTAGGTAAACTGTTTATTTTAGTGTTATAGCAATAGAGAATTTTTAAGGAGTTGGGAAAGTTGGTAAGCTGGTTATCTGAGTCTTATTGCAGTCGAGCACACTTAATTTCCGATATCTTTGCAAACCTCCTAAGGAGTTTAATACGTTATACTAATTAAAATCCGTAATCGTTAAACTTTCAATAATATCATCACAAGGAAAAATAATTTTTTTTTGTATTGGTGGCACAGTAGCTTATAGGTAAAATAAATTAATAATAAATAGAAAATTAAAAAAAAAAATAATAAAGGTAACGCGCATCTCGTGTAATATTTACTAACAAAGTATTTAGACAACTTGAAGATAGAGTTAATCATAAATATTTGTGCAGCAATAGATTAATTAGTCATTTGATATCCAGCAGCCTTCAAACTGGTTTTGTTGGAATACATCTAATGTTGATCATTGGAATATATACTCAAAAAGTGCTTAAAAAAGTGCCGATTATTGAAAATTCGGTTAAGTTTTATGTAGATTCTGTGTCAAAGAAAAAAGCTATCATTTTTGGCCAGTATTGCACGCAGGCAGGAAGGTGTCAGAAATTGAAACAGCCTACAAAACTATACAGAGATTATTTACAAGCTTTAAATTTATTATCATGAATGAAAGGTAAGGTTAACCGTGGGCGCGGAGGTTTTGAATGTTATTAAACTTTGTAAAAATTAATATAAATTTTTAAATATATAATTCAAAAAATTTACTATATTTACTGCATTTACATTATTATATATATATGTATTTTTTTATATTTATGCATGACCATTTTTATAGAGAAAAATGCGTCCTGAATATATAAAAAAACTGATATATATTTTGAAATACAGTAGATTAACCCATATGTCATTCATTAGTCAGTATAAAGCATCGCACGTTATATTTTATAAGAGATTTATTTCAAATTAAGATTATAAATTATTTAAAAGTTAAATTCCATAAGTAATAAATTTGATATTTTTGAATTTTTGATTTAGTATTACAGTAATTATTCATATATTAGAATCGAATGCTCATCATACTGATCAATTACTTGAACACTTCCAATTTTTTTTTCTTTGATAAATATATTTATAGATCCCGAAAAATAGGAAAGGTTCACGAAACGAAAAATAATTTACTATACTGCCTAATATAGGATATAGAGAATGCACATGGGGACGGAGAAAATGAGGATCATCAGCGGAAATGCCAAAAATTTTAAATGAAATTAATTAAAAGGTGACATGGAAAAAGGAATTAAAAAGTAAATTTAGAAAATTGAGAAAACTATAAACGGAAAATATAAAGTCTGCTATCGCGTTTTTTATTATAAAATGCATTAAACAAGAAGCAACGTCATTCTAAATATTTTAGTAGTATACTCGGATTTAACAATTTGGTATGGTATGAGAATAAAAAGGATAAATAAATTACATTTGGATAGAGGATTTCAGATTTGTTGCATGCTAAATTTAGATTCGCCTGAAAATATAATGCTATTTTTCTAATTTTGAAGTGGAAGTAATATTTATTAGGATATTTAATTCTTTATAAGATCTTAATGAATTCTAAATTTTATCAGTATTGATAATTAAGTTAAATATCAGTTACTTCTTTTTCAAAAATAATCTTTAAAAAAAGTTTTTATTTTAGGATTTTCGAAATTACAATTTTTTTTTGTCAAATAATTGTGCGACTGCCGATCATCACAATTACCAGTGGCTTAGGAAATTTGATTAACGTTACATGGTGTTGCCGCCTGCATTTTTTTTTTTGCTTTCCTTCAAGAATTTTTTTTTAATTTATTATAAAATCGAATAAATCAAAATGCAAGCTGACAATGATTCGAATGAGTGGATTAATTGGATTGAAGAATCAATCGCAAAAAAACTCATTAAATACTATGAATTCGAACATTTTAGTAATGTTCAAGTGATTGGCATTGGCAGCTTTGGAAAAGTTTATCGTGCAAATTGGAAAGGTTCAAAGCAACATCTGGCGCTAAAATCTTTTCATAACTTTAGTAATACCACCGTGAAAGAACTTGTTCGTGAGGTAATTTATAGAATCAAACATGTATTTCGGTATTAAGTCATTTATATATCAAGTTAACATTATTTAATGATTTTAGCTTGAATTTCAACGTGAAGTGGATTTTCATGAGAATATTATCCGATTTTTTGGGATAACTTCAAATCAAAGTACAAATATTTTCATAATATATAATATATATCGATTTGTATATTTTTATTTTTTATCTCATTTATTCATTCATATATATATTATTTTTTTTAAAAAAAAAAATTAAAAATTTAGAAAATCAAAATAATCAAATGAAAAAGTATTGGTTAGTAATGGAGTATGCTGATGATGGTGATCTTAGAAGCTATTTGAGAAAAAATTTTGATAAGCTTGCTTGGGGAGAAAAATACAACTTAGCATTTCAGTTGGCTTGTGCTGTGTCGTGTTTACATGGAGAAGGAATTGTGCATCGTGATTTGGTAAGCTTGTATAACATATATCTCTTTTGTTTTTAATTATTTATAATAAATTTATGTATAAATCTATAATAGCATTCCGGCAATATCTTAATTCGTCAAGGTGATATTAAACTAGCTGATTTTGGATTATCGAAAAGAATTGAAGCGGAAACTAAACAACAGTCAAAAGTCTTTGGAGTAATTCCTTATATTGACCCAAGTAGATTCTCTAGACGAAAAAGAATTGACAACACATCCCAACAATTCATGCTAACCGAAAAGAGTGACGTTTACAGTGTTGGCGTACTCTTTTGGGAACTTTCCAGTGGTCGTTCACCTTTTTATGTTGAAAGTGAACAATACGACATTGATCTAGCTATTGAGATTTCATATGGACTTAGAGAAAAGGTCGTTCCTGGTACACCTGAAGATTATGTAAAAATTTATACCGGTAAATAGACAATGATGAATTTATTTATAGAATATAAATGATTATTAAAATTTTATCTAATTTCAGAGTGTTGGGATAATGAGCCGGATAACCGTCCATCAATGAATCAAGTAGTTGAGAAATTAAGTGCAATTGTTAAGATAACAAGCATAAAAGGAAATCAAACGAATAATTATGAATCAAATCTTCAACGTCGTCGTTTGAATTACATCGATTTTTCTAGTATAAATAATTCATTTGGAGAATCATCTCAAGTTATTCGATTCGATCATATAAAAGATCAAATGAATAATTATATATCAAAAAATTCCGAAGTTATTCATCATTCAAATATTGAAGTATCGGAAATTATTTACGATGATACTATTGAAAGTTTAATGATTACTGAATATAATAAGGATGACATATTAAACG